CACGGGCGGCCGCGGGGCAGACGAGGGCCGGCGGCGGCCTAGGAGATCCAGGCGAAGTCCTTGTCCTGCTCGCCCGCCGGGCTGCCGGGCCCCCGCGGCGAGTCCTCGTCGTCCTTGTCGTCCCCCAGCAGCGCGTCCTCGTGCGCCAGGCCGACGTCGTCGTCGTCCTCCCCCAGCTCCTCCTCGCCCTCCGCGCGGGGGTCGTCGGGGTCCTCCAAGTAGGGCCCGTCGCCCGCGAACAGCGCCTCGGGGGAGCCCTCGCCGCCGCCGTGGTCCAGGGGCGCCGCCACCCCGCGGCCCGCGCAGTCGGCACACACGCCGTGGCGCCGCGAGCCGTGCTTGATGCCCACGCTGGCCGCAGACATGAACACGCGGCTGCACACCTTGCACACGTACTTCTTGTCCTTGCTGTGCACCTAGGGGGACAGGGAGTCAGTGGGCAGAGTGGAGACAGGTCTGCTCAGACCCCCAGCCCCGGACTCGGGCCGCCCAGGGCCCACAGGGGCAGAACCGCAGGTGGCACCAACAGTGGCATTTAAAGGCAGTGTCCACCAGGGGCAACAGTGTCCTCTCCCACAGGCTCCCAGACCCTCTTTCTCCTTGCTGGGCCAAGTCGAAGTGGGGCCCCACATATTGTGTGTCCAGGCCCCCCGGTCACACTGCTCCTTCTACCTAAAAGCTTCACTCCCTCCACACCTCTGCCAGGGCAGGTTCATGAGGCAGGAGCTTCTGGAATAGCCTCTGTGCCAGGCTTGCCATCCTGTGGGGCAGAGGGAGCTGGCCTGCCTGCCCGGATGGAGGCGAAACAGAGAAAGACCCTGCTGGCTTAGGCCTGGCTGCCCAGGGCAAGGGTGGGGAGGCCCCCGGCTGCAACCCGAAGCTGGGCCCAAGCCTGCGTCTTGGTGCTGGGGAGCAGGGGAGTGAAGGACAGTGGAAGAGATGGTGGTGGAGCTGGGAGCAGGTGGTGCAGTACTGGCAGCCAGGCTGGTGCCCCCCCCAGCCTCCCAACCCTGCTCCCCCAGGTGAAAGGGGGCACCTCTTACAGTCAGGATGTCTCAAGGTCAACTGCAGGTGAGGCCCAATCAGCAATTAGAGCAAGCGGAGGAGGCACGGGGCCAGGGAGGGACAGCAACATGGCCCCCGGACACAGGCTGTGCCCAGCAGGCAGGGAAATCACCCAAAGAGCGGCTTCAAGAGGCAGGACGTTAAGGTCCTGAGCTCCAGCAGGGTCTGGACAAAGGAATACACACTTAGGCCAGGTGGGCATCTCCTGAAGGTGGGTGCCTGGTGCCTGTGGGGAACCAGACCTCAGAGACATGGCAGGGACACGCCACGGTGGGCCCACAAGGGCCCACAAGCACCTCCCCTGCCATCCTGAGGAATCCTGGGGCCCTGGTCCCCGCTGTGCCCCTCAACTCACATCCAAGCCCTGGCCTTGTCCTCCAAAGACTCAGGCCAGTAGGCCCACAGCCCTGGCCAGGGTGCACCAGGCTTCCAGGCCCCCAGGTCCCTGCAGCTCCTCTCTATCGGGGGGCACCAAGGGGCAGGCTGCAGGTTGCACACCAGCCGGGAGACCCCTGTAGGCTCTGCCCTCTCCCCTTCCTGCTCCAGTTCTCCCCTGTGAGCAGTAAAGCTGGCTCCAAAGAAATATACCAGTCGCTCCTCAAGGGAAGGCTCCTCCACTCACAAAGACCTCTTGGCAAGCAGTCACTGTGGTCCTGGCTGGGACCTTGGGAGTCACCTCTCACTTTCTTCACCTACCCAGGACAGCCTCTCTTCTGGAATTTACCCTTCTGAAGCTTGGTACCCAGGGCCCTTTCTTTGGATTCTTTTCTTGCCTTGTTTGCTCTATTTTAAACCTGTCTTCCCTCTGCTTCCCACCACAAAAAAATAAAACTTCTAAAGCAACCTCAGGAAGAACTGTGTTCCCAATGAGTACAATTAGGCAGGAGTAGGCCCAGGAAGGGCTGCAGAAGCCCTTGGGGAGAGTCCTTGGGGTCTGGGCACTGCTCAGGAAGTGACAGGGGTATGTTAGGGAGCCTCTCACCAGGACCAGATGGTCAGGCATCACTTGTCCTAACAGACACATGCTTAGGAAGCAACGGAGAGGGAAGGATGCTGGTTGCCATGACAACCATCACCAAGTTCCCAGTGGGGGTGGTTGTAGAGCAGGGGCTGGTCCACCCCATCAGAACTGGCCAGCTCCCAGCTGCCAGGTCTCTAGCCCTGGTGACACTGGGGGGGGTTACCACGCGCCAGGGAAGAGATCACACACAGTGCCTGTGAGGCTGTGATGCAAGTGGAGGCTTGGCTGAACCAGGGGGCTGCAGAGCTGCCCTCTGACAAAGAGGGCTCCCCCTTTCAGGGTCAGGCACCCCAAAGAAGTTACATATAGACCCCTTCACAGAAAAAGACAAACCCCAAATGACTAAGTGTGTTTTTCTAGGAGTTAAGACTCTGAAGCCCAGCCATGTTTTCCAAAGTAGACATCCAGGTGCTACCCAAGACGGACAATAGGACTCACATGGGTCAAGATGTTCACTCAACATTAATGTAGTTTTGCTTAAGAAAATCCTATCAGCCACCATTGCTAAGTCTGTTCAGCCCCTATCAGTGTGAAAAGTAAGATTTGATTCTCCCTGGGTAGGAAAAATGTAGACATAGGTGCATATGTCCCTCCAAGATTTGGTAAGTTGGTCTGTGAAATCATCTCTGGCTTACTAATTGAATTAAACAAGAGCAAACACAACTAGAGAAAAAGTGCTAAAAACCGCTGCCTAGACCTCGGTGGCTCTAAGTGGCTGTGGATCTGTCCTTGGCCTTTTGTCTGTCCTGGGCCCTTCCTGCTCCCAGTGTCCCCACCTCACAGGAAGACACACACGTGGGGATCCAGGGATGCAGTCCTGGGCAGTGCCTGTGCCTGCCTGGCCTTGGTAGTTTACCCCGTCCTTGTGCCCACCTGCTACCTTTTGGGGCAAACCTGCCACCCTTTCCACACCTTTATCCTTCAGCCCTCGCTACCCAACAACTACCTGCAGGCACTGAGCTTGCACCCATGCAGGTGCAGGGCACAGGCAGGCCGATGCTAGGGCAGAGGTCAGCAGGTGGGCAGTGGAGACAGGGGACCTTCTGTACCCAGGGCTAAGTGCTACTGTGGGCAGCCCTGCTGGGTGGGTGCAGCTCTTCCTGGCTGCTCTGTCTCCCTCACACAGAGTGGACCTACTTTCTGAGGTGTCTGGGTGCTGCTTAGCCCCAGGCTGCCCACACTCACCAGTGTGTGCCGCTTCATGTGCTCACGCCGCGTGAACTTCTTCCCGCAGATGTCGCACGGGTAGGGCCGCTCGCCCGTGTGCGAGCGCATGTGGCGCTTGAGGATGCACTGGTGCATGGCCGAGAAGCTGCAGTAGGGACACTTGAACTTCTTCCTGATCACTGTGAACTCGTTCACTGGAAAACAGCAGCAAGGTGTCAGGCTGATAGCAGGGCTCAGCCACTCCTTCATTCCCGCACGACTGCCCGCCCACCAACACAGGACCCTCCAGCCTGAGCCAGGGAGGAGGTCACCTAGTTGAGGCCCGTTGAGGCCCCAGGGCCACGTCCCAGCCAAGGAGAGCTCAGCCCTGGCAACCTGCACAAGCTGGCTCGATCCTATCCAGACCTCCTTGTCCCTGCAGACCCCATGCATGCACAGGAGTGGCACCAGGCACAAGGACAAGTCAGACACAGCCTCTGGGAGGCAGATGAAAAAGCCGGCACAGGTACAGAAGACTGTGGAGGGCAGGAGACACCGCCTGCCAGAGGAGCCGCCCACGGTTTAACCTGTGCTATCTCCCCGCCAATGCCTCCTGCCGTGAGTGTGCCTGCAGCCGCCTCAGCAACTCAGCAGACCCTGAGGTGGCGCAGTCCTGCTGCATGGCTGAGGCCTCCACCATCGCAGGATTTGGAGATGGGCCGGTGCAGAGAGCAGCCCCAACGACACTGGCCCTGGACACCTGCAGGTCCTGGCTGCGCCAGGAGACCAAAAGGTCTACTGCAAGCCCTCCACTCACATTCCTGAGCCCCTCACTCCAAGGACAGAGGCTCCAGATGGCTCTGAGCTGACATTAGGCTCCTCCACGCCAACCCACGGGGACATCACCACTCACAGCCAAGGCCCCTCACCAGAGCCACCGAACAGAACGCTGCTTCTGTGCTTGTAAGAGGGACACCAGGTCTCCATGCAGGGCTGAGACGTGGTCCCCCTGGCCCTTCCAGCAGAAGTGAACCATTTCTTGACACTTGGGGCCATCAGCGGGGGTGGGTTGGGTTGGTTCCTCGTGGCCTGAAGGGCGAAACCCATCACTCACAGACAGTCGTGTCTCCATTGAATCGTGTGTGCCAACACATACACATGTATGTCCTTACAGTACTGGTATTTTAAATGTGCACACTGCACAGAAAATAGTGCAACCTCTTCGTAATGCCATGCTTTTGTTGGCTGGTTTGCTTTGCTTTTTGTCTTTGTGATAACACTAGGGACTGAACCCAGAGCCCACACCACTGAACTACATCATCAGTCCTTTTCTTTTTCTTGTCTGTTTTTTGAGACAGGGTCTCGCTATGCATTTCAGGGGCTGGGCCTGAACTCTGTATGTAGCCCAGACTGGCCTTGAACTCATGGCCATCCTCCTGCCTCAGCCTCCTGAGTGCTGGGACTACAGATATGCGCCACCATGCCCAGCCCTAGTCCTTTTCTAATTGTTTCATTTTTGAGACAGAGTCTTGCTAAATCACTAAGCTGCCCAGCCTGGGCTTCAACTTGAGATCCTCCTACTTCAGCTTCCCAGAGGTCTGGGATTGTGGGTGTGGGCCCAGCCATAATGCCATGTGTTTTGACCATACAGTCATTTAAATATTTCAGTGAAGTTATTACAGATCCCACTGTTGAACATTTGCTTCCATTTTATCCCCTTGAGAGTACCGCTTCAGCTAGGTCACTGCCCCATCTGTCCCTGGAGAAGGCCCCAAGAGTGGGCAGCCCACCTGCCCCTGACCGCTGCTTCCAGTGCTATGCTAGGCCACTCCAGGCCCTGTGCAGGAAGGCTCTGCACCGCGCTGGGGCTCCTGAAGCTCCCACTCCTTCCGTTAAGCCGGCGCGATTGTGCAGCCACGGCCGGGCAGCAGCGCGGAGGGGCACGGCCTTTGCTGCGCAGCAGGGACAGCCTGGCAAGTGCGCATGCGCGAGCCCTGGGCCACGCAGGCTGCGTGTGTCTGGCCACAACCTACACCGCACCTGGCGCTCCCACAAGGGGGGCTCTAAGCTGGTCCTCATCTTCCCCGACATCCAGGGAACCTGGCCACAGAGACACTGACCTCTTCGAAGCCTCCCCCAGCCCCTGGATCCTGGCAGCCTCATGGCTCCTGAGTCCCTTTCTCCCCCTCGCAAAGGCGCCGCACTCTAGGAAGGAAAGGAATCCAGGAAATGGGTTTCCACATGATTTTATTTAAACCAATTTTTAAATAAAATCTAAACAACATGAAAGTTAAATTTTTGAACTACTACCAGGCATGGTATAATCCCAGCACTCAAGAGGCTGAGGCAGGAGGATCGCTGTGAGTTCAAGGCCAGTATGAGCTATAAAGTGAGCTCAAGGCCAGCCTGAACTGCAAAGCAAGACTCAAAGACTCAAAAAGACAAAAAATAAATAAATAATATAATAAAATTTCGAATTACCATATATGTTAGCCTCTTCTAGTGATTCAGGCCTGCATGTCAAATAAATACTTCTCTATACACTTTTTTCTCTTAAAAAATAATTTAGAACAGACATGTAGTAGCCCATCCGTGTAAGGAGGGCTTGCTCAAGGTAGAGACACAGCCTGAGACGATCCCTGAGGCAAGCATGGTGGTGCGCCCCTGTAATCCCAGCTACTTGGGAAGCTGAGGCAAGAAGATCACAAGTTCAAGGCCAGCCGGGCAAGTCAGCAAGACCCAGTACCAAGATACCATTTTAAAAGGGCTGGGGTGTAGCTCAGTGGTAGTGGCAGAGCCCTTGCCTGGCGTGGGTGAGGCGGGGGGTTCAGTCCCTCTGCTAACAAAACTAGAACCTTCACATCCGAAGCTGTCCTCCAGGGACACAGTCTGCTCTTTTCCTGTCTACCATAACAAAGCTCAAAACAACACAAACTTGATCTTGTAGAGCTGCTCCAGGGAGCCTCCTTCCTGCCTCTCCCTGCTCCGGAGACGCAGCTCCTTCTCTGCTCAGTCTTACGAAGACATTTTTGAGATCCTTAATTTAAGCACATCTGCAATGACTCTTCACGAATAAGGCCAGTCCTGGGCTGCAGGGATCAGGACGGGTATGTGTTGGAGGGACACGCCATCCACTACGTTTAGCTTACAGCTGGGCTGGGAGGGAAAGTCCCACTGGCCGCTGTTAGCTCTGCGCAGGGGCTGGCGCTGCAGTGGGACCCATAGCCCTGTGCCAGGCGAGTGCTACCCCGAGCAGCTCCCAGGCCGCCTGCTGTTATTCAAGCAGTTTCTTACTGGAAACACCTCACAGCACCTATCGTTCTGTTGTGAGTTGCCGCCTGCGTGTCCTCCAGAGTTTCTACAGGACGAGATGCCTTGGTCTGCATGTCCCACAGGGCTGTGCCTGGGGTTCTCAGTCCCAGCACGGTGGTGCAGGCAGGAGGCACGGTTAGGCTAGGGCAGAGCCCTTGACCTTGGGGGAAGAGACCCTGGGTTTGAGCCCAGCATCTGGAAACCAATAGGCTCAACGCAATGAGGTCCGAGAGCCGGGCCCTCAGGGACAGGTCACGTCTCACTTCACTCGAGGACCCAGTTCCCAGGTAGGGAAGCAGTTCGGCCCCTACCTGCTCCTGGCTGCCGCACCCCCGTCCTCCACGGTACGGTGGGGAGCCAGGCCCGGGTTCAAGAGCAGCTGAGCAACACAGCAAGGGGTGGGGAGGCTCAGAATGCTTAAGAAAGGAATTTTTATTTTTCTTTTTTGTTCTTTTGGCGGGTACTGGGAATCAAACTCAGGACCTCACTCTTGCCAGGCAGGTGCACGGCTGAGCTAAGTCCCTGGCCTCTCTTTCTCCTTTTTTGATGAATTACCAGTGATGCTGTGTTGCTGTTATCGTTCTTGTGGACACTAACAACTTTTAAAATCAACCTGGGGAAAGGACAGTGGATAGTGAAGAGCTATCGTGATCATTAGAGTGACAGTGCCTCCCACGTGGCCCCAACCTGGAAGCCTTTGGTCTGAACCCAGCGTTCTCAGGATGAACAAGGCCCCCCAAGGAATGGTGAGGAGCAGGCCTGCAGAAGCTGCCTGTGATTCGATGTAGACCTACTGGGCAGTCCTAAAGGCCACCCTACCCTGAGGCAGTGGCCCAGGCCGTGGGCCTGTCTCCTCCTCTGTCCCCTCCTGGCCAGCCCTACAGCAGAACAAGACCTATCAGGAATCACTATGCATAAGTGAATATCCGGGAACCTCTTCACTGGGCATGGTAGAGCATGTCAGTAATCCTAGGTATTCAGGAGGCTGAGGTAGGAGGATCATAAATTTGAGAACAGCCAGGGCAATGTGGCAAAACACTGTCTCAAAATAAAATTAAAAAGTGCAGCGTGGTGGCACATACCTGTAACCCCAGCATTCAGGAGGCTGAGGCAGGAGGATCGTCGTGAGTTTGAGGCCAGCCTGGGCTACAAAGTGAGCTCAAGTTCAGCCTGAACTGCACAGTGAGACCCTGTCTCAAAAAAAGACAAAAAAAAAAAAAAAAAAAAAAAGAGTATTCTCTGTCATTCCACTATCTGTAAGATCCATAGTAATGGGCTCTCTATAACTATATTATATATAACTTCCTTGTTGTTACTGACCACTTCTGATAGCAGCTTATCAACTTGCCTTTGGTGTTGTACATTTTTCCCATCATTTTGTGCGCCTGCTCTCTCTTCCGTCAATACTGGCAATTGAACCCAAAACTTGCACTGTGCTACATCTCAAGCCCTTTTTTATTTTGAGACAGGGTCTTGCCAAATCACCTACTCTGGGCTAGAACCCTCAGTTTTCCTGCCTCAGCCTCCCAGAGTGCTGGGATTTCAGGTGTGTACACCACACCCCAATCCTTTCTTTTTCATTGATACCTGCTCTTCACTTCCTTATTTCTTCTCATTAATTTGCTATTTTTTTTCTCACTTTCTTTCATAGTTTTTAGCACGTCATGGTTACATTCCTTGTGGGGAGTTGGTACCTGTACAGAGCATACTTTGTGACACAGAAACTGAGACTTTCTTTTTTCCTAATAAAGGCACTAAGCGCTATATGTTTTTTCTGTTTTTGAGACAGGGTCCCACTATGCAGTTCAGGCTGGCCTTGAGCTCACTTTGTAGCCCAGGCTGGTCTCAAACACACAGTGATCCTCCTGCCTCAGCCTCCCGAGTGCTGGGTAAACACTGTTTT